TGGGGGTGGGGGTGGGGGTGGGGGGTGAGGAATCAGTTCCTGCACCAAAGAGATACATGCTTCAAATTCCAACGAGGTTGTAGTGACACTACATGCACCACCACCACCATTGCAAACAACTGGGATGGAGGGTTTCTTGTGTATTGTACTTTACAATGAAGCATCAAAGCACCACAGTAATAATAATGTATCCTTTTCAGTCAATGAACCAGTGTTCATCAGAGAGCTTGCACAGGCAGCCGACTGCCAGTGCCTGCAGCTCCACTTCTGAGCGGCTTTCATGTGCACCATATGCACTAAAACCCGTCCCATAGAGCCATCACAATACTTTCCCATCTCTTCTGCACAGCCAACTACCAATTTATGCAATCACAAAGTCATGCACACCAACCGCCACCCTCTCCGCACCTAACATGTAGAACAGCTTACCACCGTGCAGCGGGAGAGGGGAAATTCCGACTCGGTGGGGCTGCTCTGAGCAGCAGGGCATTGGAAGCAGACTAGGGAAGAGTGTTCAGCACCAAGGACACTTCCTCGCGTCCGGGCGGTGCCTAGCCTACTACTAAGGACGCTACAGAGCACGGAAGCATCAGCACCCTGGACAGCGCCGTCCTTTTCAAAGAGGGGGATTGGGCGGCTATGGGGCGGGGGGGAGTACCTTTCTTGGTGGCTGCGCTCCCGCAGTTCGGCGTTCCCTTTAAGTCGCAGCGAAGGCGAGAAGCCGCTTTTCCGCCTTTCTCAGCAGATCAGGCACCCGCTGTAGCCAGTTCCATGTGTGCCTCAGGAGCGAAAGCCGCTGTTTGAAGGGTATAGGAGCGGACGTAAGAAGTTCTCTCCTTCCAATAGGGTTCGGGCGCGACGGTGAGCCAGTAGCGGAGAACGAACGAGCCCACAGTGCCTTTACTTTCACTACTCCCTCTTTTTATCACGGGATTTCCGGACCATCCCACTGACACTATTCCCTCCTTACACACAACGGTGGCTCCTTCCTCCTCCTCCTCCTCCTCCTCTTCTTCCTCCCGCTCTACCGAGGCTGCTGGATCGGCATTTCTCGCCGAGCATTCGCCGCCCCCGCCCCCACCTCGCGCCACTCCACCATCCCGTGGTAAGGGGTTGCAAAAGCTTATAGCAACTCCTCTTGCCGCAGGAGTCTGCCGTTCGCATACCTACAGTTGGGGATAAGGCTGGGGAGGGGGGAATCTAATGCAACTACGGCTGCCTGAACTCTTTTTTTATTATTATTTTTTAAAAACTATTGTTTTAACAGGACAGGATTGAAAGGGGAGAGTAGATGCATTTACTGAGCGGAACACATCTGCTGTTTTCTTTAATAGCTTGTGGGACTAGAACTACGAGGGGGGGGAAGATGGGGAGGGGGAGCCAAGTCAGCAGTTTCTGTGCAAAGCCTTCGGAAGCGACGCGTGACTACTCTACGTTATACTCTGAGGAGTCTAAACATCTGGCACGGAGAGGAAAGCTAGGATGCCGAAAGGAAAAAGCTGGGGATGAACATAGAAAGCCTGGGGGCCAGTTAGAGACGGGCTCCTGATGCATGAACGGAAGGATCCCCTCAGAGCTGTTGCTGATGGTGTATCGATTTTGCAGCGTGCTTCGCCTCGCCTCGCCCCTCCCATCCCCACGTTCCTTCCCCAAAGGGGCGTCTGAAGGTTAACGGTACAGTATGGCTGTTGGCTGAGGTTTGTCAAGCTGTCGAGACGCAGTCCCTCGCGGGGCGTGTCAAAAACAAAGTAAACCGGGACGGGAGAATGCCTGGCTCAGAAAAGAAGGGGGCGGGAGAAACAAAAAAGAAAGAGCCCTCTCCCAACCAGGGTGGGAAAAGGCTGATTGAGAAACGGAGGGCGCTTCTGAGTTGGGCGGGGAGTCTCCCCGTCCTTCAGTGTAACTCTCCTCGCCGCAGACCTTCTCCCACCCCCATTAAAATGCTGCAATCGGGTTGTCATCCTGACTCTGCTGCAGACCCGGTCAGCTGATGTAGCCTCCCAAAGGCTCCCGAAGTACCTCTATTCTTGCATGACGGGAAGGAAGCGACCCGAAGAGGCTGTAGCAAGGTGCGGGAGGAGGCGGGGCGGGAGCTGCAGCCAGAATGACCAGGAAGCGGTCCAATCGCAAAAGGCCCTTGAAGCCCGCGGAGACGGTACGGGAGAGGGGCGAGCCGTGGCTGGAAGGCAGAGAGAGAAGCAGGTCTTCGGAGCACCGCTGCGCCTCCAGCTGGATTCAAGGTCACAAAAGGAAAACCCAGCCTCGCACGAGTGGAAAAGGGAAGAAATTGGAGGGCTGTGGGGGTGGAAGCCTGCAAAATCCTTCCTTCCTCAGTAGGGCTTACTCCCAGGTAAGCATATCTGGACTGGCAGCCGGTCACTTTCAGAAGAGATTTCCAGATTTCTTTTCAGGAAGGAAGCTGTGTGGGTTTGCGTGGCAATTGTTAAAAAGGACGAACGTGGTGGCATCTTAAAGATGAACAAATGGCTTTCCCCTTCTACAGTGGTATGGAACGGACTCACAAAACTTTCCACTAAAATAAATTCATTTGTTTTTAAGGCACCACAGGATCCTCCCCCCGCCCCCCCCCCCGTTTCCTTAACTCAGAGTTGCTATATTCCCATCCTTCCACTTTTCTCTTTTCCTTGGGGCTGACTGCATTTCCCCCCCCCCCCCCCCCCCC